TGGGATTTCCTATGTATAGAATTAGCTGTACATACAGATGATGAGTTTAATTTCTTCCTTTCTTATACTTTCTCTTTTTTCTCCAAATTTTTGAATTGTACACTTTACTCATTAATTTTCAGTTATTTCTTTTATGACATAGGCATTTAAAGCTATCCATTTCAGTTATAGCACAGCTCTGTGTCCCACAAACTTTGATATGAAGCATTTTCATCATCATTCACTAAAACATATAGTCCAGTTTTAATTATGAATTCCTTCATTTATTGGTTAGACATGTATTTCAAAACATGAGGTTTCCCTATTTTTATTCTTATTAATGACTTCTAGGTTATTTGTATTATGGTCAGAAATATACTTTTTTCATTCTTTTAGTATTTTTTCAGACTTATTTTATGGTCTAGTATATAGTCAAATTTTGTAAACATTTCAGGTGACTCAAAGAGACTTTATTTTTTCATTTTAGGGAATACTGTGTTCTAAATATGACCAGTTAAGTCCAGTTATTATTTTTTAGTAGTTCAGATATTCTGTATCATCACTGACATATTTTTTGCTTGCTTTTTAAAAAATATTTCTTAGTTTTAGGTGGACACAATATCTTTTTTATTTTTATGTGGTGCTGAGGATTAAACCCAGTGCTTCATGCATGCTAGGCGAGCACTCCACCACTAAGCCACAATCCAGCCCATTTTGCTTGCTTCTATAAGAGAAATATGTTAAAAACTTCCTATTATTATCACAGACTTACAATCATTTTTCCTGGCAATTTTGGAAATATTTGTCTTATATATTTTGAAGGTATTTTAGATGTACACAAACTTAGAATTATTATTTATTCCTGGTAAATGGAACATCTCTCTTGATAATTTTATTGCTTTGTTTTTGTGTTAATATAGTTATTTCTTTTTCCAGACTCTTACCTTTTCATATCCTAATACTTCTAGGTGGTATCTAGAAATACTATGTATTTGTAGTTGACATTTTAAAATCCAATCTGTTGATCTATCAAGTTTTTTAGTTCATCTGCAATTGTATTTACTGAAATAAATGCATTTTCATCATCTAAGTTCTTCCTATTTATCCTGACTGCTCTGTGTCCTTTTATTCTATTGTTTTTTAAAAAAACTACTTTTGTACTATTTTTAATACTTCAAATTCCTCACCCATATCATCATGGGAGTTATACATTTTTTCTTTTTGTAGTAAAATACACATAAAATTTACTACTTTTAAATGTACAGTTCAGCAGGTTCACACTTATGAAGTATGTTAACACTGCTGTATGGCCATTATCACCATCAATCTCCAGAGCTCTTTCCTCTTCCCGATCTGAAACTCTGTACTCATTTCTTCTATGAACAGTTTTGATCCACTCTGAGTTAATATTTGGATATGGTATAGGTAAAAGACCCAACTCTATATTTGCATGCTTTTAAGATTTGTTCTTTTAAGTGTTACTCCAAAGATTACTGTTGCAGGGCCTAACCCTGGACCTACACGGAGGAATGCTTATCTTGCTCATTATACAGCAGGGAAGTCCTAACATAGAACGCTGTGTTTTGGGGCAAAGTGCTGTCAAAACACTGGCAAGTGCCATTTCCTTGCTCCCCTGACAAGAAGTTATTCCCTTGCTGTTGCAAGGCTGGTCTACATGGCCGTTTCTGGACTCGGTGTCTTGATTCCCTTAAGAGGTGTGTCACCTCTGGCCTATCATGACTGTTATATGTAAATTGAGACATACCCTCTGTAAAAGCTATTTCTGCTGTGCAATAAAGCAGACACTGTTCTCTGAAACTATCTCCAGAGGGGTTTCTCCACACCCTCAAGTTCCCCAGTCAATACTGGAAGGGCAGGCCCCTCAGCAGAATACAACATGCATTCGCTAGTTTATCAAAGTCTCATATCAAACAGCATGTGTAGAAAAGAGAGTTAACACAGCAAGAGAGACCCAAGAGTGCTGTCTTTAGAAAATTCTACTTACAAGGTAGGCCCTTGGCTAGTGTCTGGAAATCTGGATTTTGAGAGGTTCCTCCCCTTTCCAGAAGTTATGACTGCCTCACTGTGCTGAAACTGTTTATATAAACATCTGTTTATGCTAAACAGCTGCTTTCTTTCTGAGTGTAGACTATGGTATGTAGGCAGAGTACCTACATGACCAATCCCCAATAAAATCCTTGGGCCCTGAGTCATTAATGAGTTTCCTTAGTAGATGGAGAAATCAAACACACCCTGTGTGGCTCCCTAGAAGTTTGCATCTGGTTTCCTCCAGACTCACCACAGGTGTCTTTTCCCTTTGTTGATTTTGCTCTGTTTCATGTTATAATAAATTACAGCTATGTGTACACCTATATACTGTTTCATGCTGAGTCCTTCTAGCCTGGGGGAGTGGTTGGGAACCTAACAGAGACATTTTGTCCTCTCTTCCCCAACTGCAAGGTGCTTAAAACAGTAAGAATACTTATTTCCCTCTCAACTTGTATATACTATTATTGTCATATATTTTAATCATATAGACTCTATAAAATACCATTATTCTTGTTTTATACAGTCAGTATGGACATAATTGTTCTTTTTTGACCTTCTTTCTCCTGCACTTCTGAACCTTCATTTAAAATCACTTTCCTTCTTTCTTGAACACTCTTTAGTATTTTTATTTTTTAAGAGTGTCTCTCCTTCTAAAGCAACAAGTTATTTCAGATTTTTTTTTTTTTTGCAGTACTGAGGATTAAACCCAGGATCTTGCATATGCTAGGCAAGTGCTCTGCCATTGAGCTACATCCCTATCCCTTTTTTATTTTTCTTTGAGACAGGGTCTCTATAAGTTCCCCAATCTGGCCTCCAACTTCTGCCTCAGCTTCCTGAGGAGCTGGGATTATAGGCATATGCCAACATGTCCACTATAGTTTTATTTTCATGAAAATATTTTACTGTTATTCTTGATAGTTCTTTTCCTGGATGTACAATCATATGTTTGTAAAATTTTTTGATGGTGTCTCATGAGAATGAGCTGTTATTTATTTATTTATTTTGAAGCAGGATGTTGCTAAGTTGCTGAGGCTGGCCTTAAACTTGAATCATTGGGATAATAAGCATGAACCATCACTCTCAGCAAGCACGTGTTTTTGTTTTTGCAGTGCTGGGGATTGATCTCAGGGCCTCACACATGCTAGGCAAGTGATCTATCACTAAGCTACATCCCTGGTCCCAGGCATTTTTTTTTAAAGTGGTTCTGACAAATATCTAGAATCTCTCTGGTTAGTTTCTATTATCTAGTACTTAAGGTAACTTTTTAAAAAATTTTCATTTGTTCTTTTTATAGTTATAAATGGCAGTAGAAGGTATTGTGACAAACTATGCATACATGGAGTATAACTTCCCATTCTTGGGATTGTACATGATGTAGAGTGTTTCACTGGTCATGTATTCATATATGAACATAGGAAAGGTATCCATTCATTCTACTGTCTTTCCTATTCCCACCCCTTCTTCTTTCCCTTCATTCCCCTTTGTCTAATCCAATGAACTTTTATTCTTCCCTTCTCCCCCACCTTTATTGGGTGTTAGCATCCGCATATCAGAGAGAACATTTGGCCTTTGGTGTTTTGGGATTGGCTTATTTTACTTAGCATGATAGTCTCCAGATCCTTTCATTTACTGCAAATGCCATAATTTCATTCTTTTTTATGGCTGAATAATATTCTRCTATGTATATATACCACATTTTAAAGTTACTTTTCATTCACATGAGCTTATTTCTTTATGATTATTTTTTATCGTACACTCTTATTCACAAAATAAACTATTACATATCAAATTCTGGCATAAATAATTTGAGAACTAAAATGGTATTACTTTATTACAAAGAATTCTTATTTTAATTTCTCTTAGTTATCCGGCAAAAGCAATAACTGTAGATCATTTCAATCCTACCTACGGAATAAATTCTAAATCTGAGTTACAGCCCCTCTGAGAAACAAATTAATTCTAGTTCAGATTTACTCCTAGAGCACAGCCCTTTGGAATCCCAACCCCCTACAAAGTCTACCAAGTCTCCATTCCTCTAGCTGTAACGTTACAAAAAGGGTCCCTTTAGCTGCTCCTTAGCAAATACCAGCGAGAAACTGGTTCCAAACATTGAGCATATTTCTCTGAGAATATCTTTTCTGTACATTAGCCACATAATTGATCATTATATTGATAGCTCTTCAATGTCTTCAAACAAAAATTTTTTAAAAAAATTATATATATTGAGCTTCTAGCTGTTCTCCGTAGAAAGTTGGCTTGAATTACCTGGATACCTTATGCTGGAAACAAAAGACCTGATCCACTAGTTTGTAAAAGAAATTCTACGTTAATCTGTAGAAATTCAGAAAATATACACAAACTCTTTGTTGCCTTTGTTCAAGAGGTGGAGCTTAATTCTCCTCCCCTTGAGTGTGGATTAGATTTAGTGATCCCCATTTAAATAGTGTGGCAAAATGACAGACTGCAACTCCTAAGGGCAGTCCACAAAAGACAATGCTGCTTCCATTGTGCTCTCACTTTCCCAGGGGAAGCCAGCTGCTACATGTAAGGACATCCAACGAGTCTAATGGAAAGGCAGGTCCATGTGATGAGCAATTGAAGCCTCCCATGTGAATGGACCTCTTAGAAGCTGATCTTTCAGTCTCAGCCAGCCTCTGGATTACCACAGTCAGGTCAACATCTTGAATGCAACATGGTGAGACTCTGAGCTAAAACCACCCAGCTAAGAATCCCAATCTGCAAATTGTGAGATGATAAATGTTTAAGTTAATTAATTTTAAGGTAACTGGCTTTGCATTAACAGTTATTTAATGCAATACTGGTTTTTAAATTTAGTATTTCATGTTACTATTTTAATTTAAAATTATTATTTTTATTTCTAAAGAAAATGAAATCAATAACTTAAAATGCTTTAGTAATACTTAAATATCAAAGAAAATGGTTACTTTACCTCTTTATTGCTTTGTTTATTCCTAACTGGAAGCAGAGTTTTTCAGAACAGATGAAGTCATTTCCACAATAGTACTAATAGATAAGCCATTCAGGAAACCTTTATGATTTACTCTTACTTCTTGAAGAGCATCTATAATATGGTCTCTATGCAAAAATAAAACATTCATGGGCATTTTTTTCCAAAGTAATGCATTCTGAATATGACTAAGTTATAGAACTTAACTATTTTTTACTTATATTGTCTGTTAAAATATAATTTTAGTTACTACCTGCTGACATCTGGATGCAGTTCAGCCAGTCTCTTCATGATCTTGGTAAAACTACGAAGGTTCAATGTATTTGGAGGTATAAATTGAATAGGTGTCTCAGGTAATAAATGAGCAGATTCAATCTGTTTACAATTCTTCTTAACACCCTAAATTAATGAATAGAATGAATAAATGTTGAAAATATGATAAAAAGCAAAAAGGGCCAAGAAACTGCTTAGAAAGATAAAGAAGAAAAAAACTTATTATAGTCTAACAAAGATGGTAAAAGGAACTTCACTATACACATACTCCTACCCACAGCCAACCCCATGGCCTAGCTCACTGGACCAAGACTGTAGTCTCTCCTGAACTAATGAACACCAAAATCACAGGCTGGGTCAGTGGAATTATCTATCTAAAAAACATAAACTGGAATATGAAACAAACAAATTAGTTAAATAATCACAGGTGCCTGAATGAAAATACTGCAGTTAAAATTAAGCAAAACAAAGCCAAGTGGGGAAAAAAAAGCAGTCATGAGCAGAGAAAACATCATGCACAGAGAAGGAGAAGGAGCCCAGATGCCCTGGAAAGATATGGACCAAAGGAGAGAGGAGGGCAAGAGCCACAGTCCCAATATAACCCAGGTTTACTTTCCTTCCTGCTATGGATTGAAACTATGTACCCCCAAATCCATCCTAACCAGGAGGTGTGAGATGAAAGGAAAGGTGTTTTATAAAGTGATGACCAGAGGCCAAGTGCTCAAGAAGGCAGATTAGGAAAGATCAGTAAAAAGGTGTTGGTGACAATGGAAAGAACAGTTCAAGTAAAATTTCTGAGATTGAATTTAGAGTATTAGGATAAAGGAGATAGGCAATCAAATAAATGGAGGCAAAAAACTACTTCATTGAGAAGTCTAGCAATGAAAACTGCACAAATAAGGATGGTAAATTCAAAGAAATGCAAAGTCAAGTGAAAATCCTATCAGGATTAGGAATGGTTTTAGGTGACTACAAGTGGAAAGAAAAGATTTCAGTGAAAATGAGAATCACTAATGGTATAGAGAAGGAATGGGATAATTTTAAGAATTAGGAGAGGACGGAATAAAGGACACAGCTGAGCAAAGCAAACAAATCAGAAAATGAAAGAATTTTTTTTGAATGATGGGAATGTTTGTTATTTTGATTATGGTGGTGGATATTTATTGATATGCATTTGTCTAAAGTCATGGACAAGAAAAAGTAAATTTTACTGTAATTAGGGCACCAGGAATTTTGCTGGGCAGTGGAGAGATGAAAGCGAACAAGCAAACTTTGTCACTTTCCATGTGGTGTTTGAGACCTTGATGAAGTAAAAATGAGGGCATATGATTATAAAATGACTACATTTTATGGTTTTAAGAATTGTGAGATAAGCCTAGCTGTGAAAAAAAAGGATGATAAAAGTGTAATTAGTTACTTGTAAATTAGTACTATTTAGAAATAGGGAGATAAGATCTGCAAAGGACCGTCCAAGAGCCTAGTTAAAAAGAATGAGTTTTTTCTTTGGTTAGATCTATAAACCACTCCACTCCTGCTCCACCCCCACAGAGCAACTGGAGCTATATAAAAGCAGGTTAGGTGGAGTTAAGATTTAAAACAATTTAGTTTGATGATGTTCTCCTTCCTACAATTCCAGATTGTCAATACTGTAATTGTTTATTGTACAAAGGTATTTACAGCAATAAGGCATGTATGAGACCATTTGTGGGCCAATTAATAACTAACCTTCTGGTCCGAAGGGGAAAACTCACTGTCTTGCTCAGATCCCAGCTGCCTTGGCCTAGTTCTGGGCAATTTAGAAATGCAGGAGGCATTCATTTCTTTGTTGGTGTTTTTCTCCAAATTATTCAAACCAACTTTATTCCCATTTTTGGAGGCAAGTGGTGATGTATATTCTCCAGGAGTTTTAACAAGCCTCACATTTACTGATTTTCCATTTATTTCCATTCCATTCATTTCTTTCACAGCCATCTTTGCATCACTGTTTTTTTTAAAAGCAAGAGACGCATATCTAAAATATAAAAGTAGAAGATGAAAAAGTTCTTTGTTAATGAATTTACCTCAAACTCAATTCTGTAACTACTGACTAAAATATCTGCTCTTAAAAGTAAAAAGGTCATATACTATACCTGGTACAAGAATATTTATTCAGAATAATTAAATATAAAACAAATTAAAAAGAAAAAATAAAAGTAAGGTTTTTATGACTTACCTATTTATTTTATATTAAAATTTAATGTTCTAAATATGCAAAGTTGACATATAAAAGAATTACAGATTCCTGGTTTAAAGGCAACTGAATAGCCACACTAAAAAAATTAAAATTRATTCTTATATATAGGCACAAACTCCAGATGGTTCAAAAGGTGCAAAGCACTATTTAAGGGGAGGCACTAGTGAATACAACTGATCAAATTATATTGTTGGATTTTGTTTACATACAAATAAACAACAAATCCCACTATTATGTATATTTATAATACACAGCAATGCTATGAAGGTACCATTATTCTCCCTTTACAAAGAGGCTAAAGTACAGCAAAGATAAGTAACTTGCCCAAATTCAAGCATGGAATTACTGATGGAGCTGGGAGATGAATCACAGTCATCTATTTCTAGAGCTCATTCTCTTCAATAATGCACTGTTTCCCCTGGTAAATGGTATGTTCAAGATAAACGACACAAAAATCAAGAACTATTCTGTATACCAAAACGACAAGTTGAAGAGTACACAGAAAGAGCTGATAAAGAATAACACCATTTAATGACTGCAGCTATTTGTCTATGTATCTCCTTCCACTTCTCTGGGAATCTCCTGTGGGAGTAGCCCTTGATATTCTCAACAATGTGGTTCACATCTAGTTCAGAATCTCTGGTGCATAGTAGACAAATGGTAATGAAAACTTAGTGAATTTGGGAAACACACCTGTAATTAGTAGAAGAATCATAAATTGAAATTTCAAAAACTTGGTACTTCTGGAAATGAGACCTTAAATCAGCCTAAAATAAGAAAAATAAAAGTTGTTGAAAGGTAGAGAAACAAAATAATCATAATATGAGTAACTGATAAATTTAAAAATGAAGCCTCAAAGAGAAATCCTGGCATACCTCAGACACCGAAGGGCAGAGACCACCAACATGTATCAGAAAACATTTATCTCTTCGTAAGGGTTCGACATTCTTCATTTCTGCTTATATAAAGACATAATATGCAACAGAAATGACACTGACATTTGAAAATATTTCATGTTCCCCTCCCCAATCACAAAGCTTATTTTAAATTTAGGAGCAAATATCAGCACTAGCTTGAAGACAAGAGCCTTATGAAGTATAACTTTTAAGATTTCTGGGCCTTAATCACATCATCTTAGAGATTGGATTAACTGATTACGGCCTCTGGAACTGAAAAATGTATCAATTACATCACAACTAAGAAAAATGTCATTTATTTCTTGATTCACAAGTTACTTCTAGAATATTCCTTTGCTGGAGGGACAGCGCACCAAAAATACTTTATATATCAGGTAAGTATCAACAGCAGATACTTGTGATAATGGTAAGGGCCCCCAAGAAAAGAAAGAAAGAAATAACTTGAGCTACATAGCATGATTGTGGAAATAACAAAACTAGGGTTAAATTTCAGATGTTTTCTTATTTGATAAAAATACTCCAAATTCTTAGACTATGGTCTCTTGTTAAAGAGAATCTGGTTTGAAATAAAAAAGGCCTCCATGAATTCAGATTCAAGTGACTATCAACTCCCAAACCTGGCACACATCATTTCACRTAATTCTCACAATTACCTTGTGAGGTAGCTATTGCTATGTTAATTTTACAGATGAGGATACTGAGGTCTCAAGAGTACTGATCACATATCTAATAAGTTGTGGTGTTGAATTCAGGCATAATTCCTCATCTCTGGGTAATAACCTTTTCTTTAACTTACTTCTTTTATTAATCTGAGTGTATAACAATGTATTCTAAAGAAAAACAGTGATAACATTTATTTTTATAATTTAGATTTTTGCAGTGGAGTGAGAAAAGTAAAAAGCTATGGCATAATAAAGAAAGTCTGAGCATGAGACTCAGAAGATGTACATTCTACCTACCACCTCACTTTCCACTAGTCCAATAAAAATATTTACTGAAGTTCCTGTGGGTTGAACACTGAATTTTACACTGGAGATAGGCAGTAAGCTAAACAAAAATTCCTGGTATTAGTGAGCTAATATATGAATACAGAAAGGCAGTTAATATGCCAAAGAACCAAAACATGCAGTATATGATAAATGATAATAGAGAAAAATAATGCAAAGACAAAAAATGGTTACAGTAAAACTGAATAATATGATGCTCTTTATTTTAAGTTGTAGGTGTGCTAAATATATGTACAATAAGCACATTAAAAAATGGTCACTAAAATATTCAGAGTGGTTATTACAGATTTGAGAAATTCAAGTGAAAGTAATTATTTTGGTACTGGGGATTGAATCCAGAGGCATTCTACCACCAAGACTCTTTTTGAGATAGGTTCTCCCTAAGTTGTCAAAGCCAGCCTTGAACTTGAGATCCTATTGCCTTAGCCTCTCAACTGCTGGGATAAGAAGTGTGTGTACCACCATACCTGGTGAATTTTCTTACACTTTCATATTTTATTAAAAATCTTAGAGCTGGACTGTAGCTCAGTGGTGGAGCGCTTGCCTCCCAGGTGAGAGGCCCTGGGTTCGATACTCAGCACCACATAAAAATAAAGATTTTTGTGTCCATCTACAACTAAAAAAAGAATATTAAAAAAATCTTAATAAGCATTATTTCTAAAAGTAGGGAAAAAACAATAAAACCATACTGTTATGGAAAAAAAACCACCACAGAAGTAGATAGGAAAAATAAAGGAAGGTAGCATAAACATCATCAGAATGACAGAAGGCAATAATCATGGATACTAAAGAAAAGCCAATTATAAGCAATTAAGGACTATATAAAGATGAAAACATCCCTTAAGTAGTTATTATTAAAATAAGGAAAAGCAATGGTGTTCATCTCTAATTTGATAGACTGGTACTGGTTGACTAATGGAAACTGGGAAGCTGGTTTGATTCACCAGGTATCCTCCCCTGGAAGATACCTGCCAAAGGTTCAGAAGACAAGGATGCCCTGAAGGAGTACTGATGGGTGGCCTTCAGTAGGAGGGAGCGAATGGCATACTTCTACCTGCTAACTAAATTCTTGATTTAAACTTTAAGTAGTTCTCTGAAAAAGGAGTGCCCTTTTTTGTTTGGTACTGCGACTGAACCCTTGGGGGCTTCACCACTGAGCCACATTCCAAGCCCTTTCAAAAAAAAAGAGTTTTAGTTGTAGACAAACACAATACCTGTATTTTATTTATTTTTATGTGGTGCTGAGGATTAAAAGCAGTGCCTCACACATGCTAGGCAAGCGCTCTACCACTGACCTACAGCCCCAGCCCTCCTAGCCCTTTTTATTTTGAGACAGTCTTGTGAAGTTGCTTAGGGCTTTACTAAGTTGCTGAGTCTGGCCTTGAAACAGATAACTCCTGCCTTACCTCCAGAATTGCAGGGATATAGGTGTTAACCATCATGCCTGGCAGAAAGGAACATTTAATACTGATTTAATCTTTTGAAAAAATGATCTCCAACTGGCTACTTTTCTTTTATATAAGAAAAGCCACCAAATGAAACAAAATATTATTTCAGTCTCCCAATAAAACAAAATAGGTAAGCACTATTTTCAAACAAACTAGTTTAGAATTTCTCAGTCAACTATTAAGAACAAACCTTGTGTAAACTTTGGATTCCATTTGTCGTGTTCAATTTGGTTTTCTTGTATTCCTGAGAAGTCAGCGCCTGTCAGGTTCTCTTTAGCATCAAACCAGTCTTCACTGATTTCACGGTAATTTCTGTACTCTTAAGATATTAAATATAATGAACTATGAATTATGAATAATGTTTAACCCTATGAAAAGTTATCTAAAAATATAAATCAGAATGTTGATGACTACCAGTTTTATGTATAAATCCAATGGTTAAAATTAGTAAAATAAGAGAACCAAGCACAAATATTCTGAGAAAGGCTTTCAGCAGTCCTGAATAACATTCTTCTTAATCTGATTTGCTTCCTAAATTTTCTTTAACACTGATTCATAGCTTATTAAAAGCCTTACTTTTTTGAGTTGTCTTTTACTGAAGAAAAGATGATCTTATATAATAGAATGAAAGTAACATCGGGCTGGGGTTGTCAGTGGTAGAGAGCTCACCGAGCACGTGGGAGGCCCTGAGTTCGATCCTCAGCACCACATACAATAAATAAAATAAAAGTATTGTGTCCAACTACAACTAAAAAATAAATATTAAAAAAGAAACATTTCTAAAGGAAGTAAGCAATGCTGCAGCTCTTTATTTCATTAAAATTAATGATCTTTTTGGAAGATCAAAATCTTTTAGAGGAAAAAAGTAATGAATAGTAAGAATATTTTAAAAATTATTGTTTTCTGGCAATAATACTTATAATAATTATTATACTGACCTTTATCATCAAGTTTCAGTTGACTAAAGTCTACATTTATATCACCATTTTTAAAACTGTCTTTCTCAGGTGTTGGATCTTGTGTAGAATGACTACTGTCAGATAATAAAGACATCTGAGGATTAAGATAATAAAAATAATATGGATTAACAATTATTATTCTCTTAGTATACGATAGGCACTCTGCATCAGCATTATTTATCCCTCCCAATAATGAAGGTTACAAGAGAAAAAAATCATTATCAATTTGACTTACAGAAGAGAAAACTGAATCTAAGTTGTTGGTTTATGTCAGACATTTAACAAGAATTAGTATTTGAAGCCAGTCTATGTACAGTGACTATGTGCCAATATGACTATTATTGGGCAATGATGGCATACACTCACAAGAAGCATTTGACATGATTTTTGAAAAAAAATACATAAATATTTATTATGTTAACTTTATATATTTAATTTAGAGTATGTGCTTATGCATACCTTCCATTTGAGAAGTAAAATTTCTTTCCCATTATGTTATAGTGAAATTGTTTTTATACTTACTTAAAGAGAGAGTAATCAAAGTAACTAACATAGGTAAAATATGGCTATGGTAAATTGTGAAAATGGTACATTAACAGTTAAAATTTGGAAACAATACACTACACCGGCTTTCACAAATAACCAGTTAAAATGGAATTCCAACTTAAAAGACATATTGCTTTAAAATCAAAACCACGATTATAAAAATAATGTTACATTTTTGCATATTGTACTTTTTTTTTTTTTTTTGTGCCGTGCTAGGGACTGCTGAATCCTAAAGGGATCATGTTTTTCCTGAGACAGTCTAGGTTTGTATCTATCATCAAACTCAGTTGTTAACATTATTTTCTTTGAACCCCAAAGGTTCCAGGTTTGAAGCCAGGTATAGTGGCAGATGCCTGAAATTCAAGCTACTCAGGACGCAGTTAGATAAAAGTTCAAGACCAGCCCAGGCAATTATACTGTCTCAAAATAAAACAGAAAGGGCTAGGCATGTAGCTCAATGGTAGAGCACTTGTCTAGCAATTGCGAGGCCCTGGGTTCAATTCCCAGTATTGCCTTAAAAAATAAAACCCCAGGTTTGGTAATCACATGGTCACTCTACTCATCATGCTGACATCTCGATCAGGACTGGACCTAAATACAACATTATTTTCCTTCCAATTGGTTATATGACTCAAATGGTAATACACAAAGTAAGCCAGTTGAATAAAAAGTAGAATGTGAGGGTTTCTGAAAGTTACAATTTACTTAGGACATAAAATTAAAATATTTATCTTGATGAACTTTAAATAAAATTATCTCACTTGAGAGAGTGTCTTTTTTAGGGCTGGAGAAACATCAACATCAGGTGCACTTTGATTATCTAGTTCCGAATCTGCTCCTGAAAAGCTAAACARATAGGCATCATTAAAGGATTTATCCATGTTCCAAATGGGGACCAAAACAGAGAAGCCCAAGTTAACTGAATTAAGCAGTTGTAAGATCAAAGAAATTCTAAATTAGATGAATTATAACTTACTCATGTGATTCTTCTTTTACCAACTGGAAACAGGAAAAAGGAGAGAAAAAAAATCTTTGTTTAAATGTATTCCGTCTAAATAAAGTATAATTTTTATTCTTAAAACATATATACATACCCTGGAAGCAAAAGTAGAGAAGGCAGACAATAATTTTGATTCTACTGACAGTGGGGGCAGCTCTTCCAGTAGTATGCCCTTGTGTATTTTTTCTTTCAAATTCATATATCTAACTTTTAAGTCTCCCAAAACAGATAGTAGTGCCGACCCTAATTCTTTCTTAGCAGAATTACTTGGCAAATTCCTGTTGAAAGGTAAGTTCACAAAAATAAATTGTTTAGGCCCAAATCATCCACTTAACACTAATATTATTCACTTAGTTCTAAGTCTACTAGATTTAAAAATTTTAACTGTTGAATAAAAAAAAATGAACCACAATAGATGTGTTTTTTCTACCAGGGATTAAACCCAGGGGCACTTAACCATGGAGCCACATCCTTAACCCTTTTTAWTTTTTGAAAACAGGATGTTGTTAAGTTTCTTAGAGCCTTGCTAAGTTGCAGAGGCTGGCTCTGAACTTGTGATCCTCCTGCCTCAGCCTCCTGAGCTSCTGGGATTACAGGAGTGTACTACCATGCCTGGCTAGACTAGATGTGTTTTTTTTTTCCTAGGATCAGTACAAGCAACCCTTCCCTTAATAATCTAGAGAATGTGGTAGAATGTCACACAAAACCCTCTCAATGACTGCATCCTTACTTGGAGTTCATAAAGAAAAACGGAACCTATCTTTTCCCTGGATTCAGCATTCCAACAATGCACTTGTTACCCCTCCATAAAACTCATAAGTATTATTTTTAAATTCTTATTACCCCAAGACAGCTAATAAACCCAGTTATAATCTACCTCTTATTTTGCCCTTCAAAAATGAAAAATAAATTTTCTAAAATAAATTTAAAGCTTGTGATAAATTTCTAAGAAAATACAGACTTAAAATTAATAAACACCTATTTAATCCTTCTCTATTTTCCATTATAAATTTGTAAATATCACAACAATGTTGATGACACATCTGATAGTGAACGTTTAAAAGGTGCATCTCTGCTTTTATGGCTCTCTGCATTATATTCTGACAGCACTTTGATGGCAAATTCTTCTCCATCTCTTTAGAAAGTTGAAATTCCCTTTAAAATAAAAGACAGAATCAGATAAGATTCCATTTCTCTACAGTAATTATATGCCTCTAAAAAAAGATTTAAAATTTCTTACATTTCCTTGTCAAGTTTTAGATAATTCCTACTGAAGACAGAGAGGCTACAGGGACAAAAATAAGGACATCAAGAGTCAAAGCTAATCATATTCTAAGAGTTAAGGGAGTAAACAATTTGCAAATTTTTACTTTCTTTTACTAAAAAAAGATTCCAACCTAAGACCAGGACTTCACTTATCCAGAATCAATGGATTGCCTCCCCCCTCCCCCAGCTTAAATCAAATTTTGGCCAAGATTTTTTAAAAGTTAATGAGCATTCTGGGTTGAAATTGTTCTTAAATATATTACTTTAATAGAAAATAAACACAATGTATATTTTTCTTAGCAATTAAGGATCCTTAATATAAGCAAATTGTCTACTGTGATATCAAACCAAAAAGTTCCAAGTAACTAAACTACACTTTTCTTCAATGCTGATAGTTTTCAGACATTTTGTTACTAGTTGCCACTTCCAGCTGTCCTCGAAGCCAATTCTTGTATTTACTTTAGTTGAGATACCAAATTCAACTCATTAGAAGAATGAAAAATTAAATGACTTCAGAGCATAGTAATTAACTTGGCCTTTCTCTCTTTCCCATCCCACTTCCTGGTTCTCCACTGTGTTAAGTAGTAAGTGCGAAGTAATTATATGATGAATTAAGATTAAAATACTTTAGTGAGTGTAGCTAATAACTCCTTTAAATTTATGACATTTGATTCAAAAGGTGCTATTTTGTTTTGGTTTATAGGGGAATAACAAGAAAAACCAGAAAATTAAATCAATGTGGATTTAGTTTGAATAAGGAAACATAAATATGAGTTTTGGAAGGAACTATCAAGACTAAATTCTCATTAAGTAAAGAGTTTTAATATCTCATACTGTTTCAATATTATTCATTAGCAGACAAATGGCTAAGGTAGGTAATTTATTAAAAGTTCCTTTTAGATATAATTCTAGATGGCTAAGTATGATACACAGAAAGCAAATACTACTTTAGACTTTTTTCATGTTTAAGACTACAAGTTATACATCTGACCTACCTCTCAGGATGTTTCTTTAAGTCTATGATATCCAATGTTTTTCTTACTTCCATGGAATCCTAAAAACATAATTTAAAATTAAATTATAAAGATATGACAAACAAATCATGTTATATCTGGAGTTTCAAACTGATAAAATGTAAACTGAACTTCAAAAGGTCTTTGTGGCAATAGCTACCCCCAAATAACAGGGCTGGAGGCAATTTACCTACTCATTCCCTTCACATTTTTTCACAAAGGCCTCAATATGACATAATGAACCACAAACATTTATATTAGCATGTGCTTTATAAGGTAAAATTTATAAAGTAAAATAAAATTTTATTATCATACTGATTTTACCTTATTTAGGAAATTTCCATCTGGCTTTAAACCATCAACTGAGAGAGATCTTCCTGATCCTTTTGTCAAAACCACCTGTGTGTCTACCCAATCTTGACTGCATGACCAGTCTGTATTACAAGCCACACTTGTTTGTTTTCCACTCTGCCATCCGCCAGGCCTTTGTTTATTCATCATTGTTATCTCTGTGTTGCTTGATGTAGATACTACAGGAGATCTTGCACTTGTTGCCCTGCTGGTTGTGAAACAAGCCCTAAAATCAGTGCTAACATCCACTGTCTGATTAACTGTGACTGTACAACTTGCTGCATCTGACACTGATTTAGGACATGTTCCTTTCCTATCAGGAGAGCATATTTTATTTGTAGTACTGTTGCTAACAACTTTTAGGGAACTATCCTTTTCCACTGCCTGATTATCTTTGACTGCAATTCTTGGTAGTGTAACAGAGAAACCCAAGGCTGGGTCAGGGTTGCAAAGGCTTTTATAATGTGAATACCCACAGGCAGAAATGACTGAGTCATCAAAAACAGAGGCCCAGGAAGTCTGGCAACCTTTACAGGACTGGAGTAAAGACTCCAAAGCTTTGTTCTGAGGTAACTTGGTAGGATTTTCAAGATGCTGTGATACTTTGTTTTCAACAACTGTATTTCCACAAAGATCTTTACTTTCAGGTATTTGAGATTTCATTTTCTCAGTATAAATCTTAGTTTTGAGTGTTTTTTGAGGATTCAAGAAACCACTCTTAGGTTGAGATTCTTGGTTTCCAAGAGAATTGTTTCTTTGTATCAGATGATCAAATACAGTGTGGTACATTAAACTAGTCTCTTGTTCCTTCCATTTTTCATGCTTTGATTCATGATTTTCTTTTATCATGACAGAATTCTGAAATTTAGAGACATGAGGCGAATATTCTTGTGCAAAAACATTAAGTGAATCCAAAGAAATAATAGAACTACTTTCCAACTTAACATGATTATCTTCTATATTGCTAACACATTTAACTTCATAACCTGAATTTCTTAATTCAATAACTTCCAGATTAGATATACTTAATGTTTTGGCTTCATCAAAAGATAAATGGTTACTTATATATTCTTGTTCTTCTGCACTGTGATATTCCTGCTGTGAGTCTTCATTTATATCATACTTTTGCATATCTTCAGCAGTTTCTGTATAGTCATCATCTGAAATCTTGGAGATTTTTTCCAAGCCAACAGTCTTCTTACCTTGATGCTCCAAAATATCAAAAAATATCTCTTCTCTTTTTTTCTTTTCAGGATCTAATTCTGAATTTAAAAGAGCAAGATTTTCATTTAGCTTTGACTCTGAATAATGTATAGAGTATGTCTCATTCAAAAAAGCATAGTCAATACTGTCTTCAAACTCACTTGACTGGGAGTGAGTACTCCCTACATTGGTATCTTGACTTGCTGAAAAATATGATTCCAATAAATCTGTTTTTTCAATACTGTTGATTTCTTTGTTAGCTCCTTGCTTTAGCGTATTCCACTCATCATCAGGAAGAATAGATTTGACTTTATTACAACCGTTGGAAGAAAATAATAAATTTTCTTTCTTAGAAGATATACCTGTCAAAAAAAGAACAAAATGTAAACATTTTGAATTCAACATTACTGAATCTAAACACTAGAAAAAACCTTAGACATGATTTGGTCCAAGCTCTTCCCAAAGTAGGAATGTTTTATATTATCCATGACAAATAACCCTGTGGTAGTTGATACAAACTGAACTCCAATCCCCAATGTGGTGGTATTTTGAAGATGAGACCTTTGGAGGTAACCAGATTTAATCAGTACCCTCATGATAGGATTAATGCCTCTTTAAGAGACAGAGAGTTTACTTCCTCTTTCTTTCATGTGAGAACACACATCATGTGAGGACACCATAATAGTATTGTCTTCAAGCCAGGAAGAGATGCCTCATCAGACCCTGACCATGGTTGACACCTTCATTTCAGATTTCTAGCACTCAGAACTATAAGAAAATACATTTCTGTCACACTTCTCAGATTAAAAATTTTTATGATGTTAGGACAATTCAAGCCAACAGAGAAACCATGATTCTCCTTGAATTCTTTAAGGGGCAAGGAGTTTTCTATTTATAGGGCAGCCACTGTTTGTTAAAACGTTTTTCTCATAAATTTATTTAATACATTTTTGGGTACCTCCTGGTGCCAGTCCCGAGCACCTTATTGCCGCGGTCTGGCTGGGCACAAATCACAAGCCATTCAAGCGGGAACAAACTTTATTTCTGAACTCCAGCGAATGCCATGCATGCGGCCTTCTCCTGGGACACACCACACACCAACTGGAAAATCCCTCCTCTGGCACTTCCCCTACCAACACGAACTCCCCAGGAATCCCATGTGAGAACTCCAAAGTAGAGTGAGTCCAAAGTAGCTGGCACCTGAGGCGGACAGCAGGGGTCTGATATACAATTGAATACACAGCTTAACATAACCATCATCATCTCAATGGCTTGCTGGGATCACCTCTCAACCACTCCATTAGGCTATGGCTCTCAGCATCTCCTCCCTTCTRTTTAATTAAACACCAAGCATGTGGTTAAGGGACCATGCCTGTTATAGGTTGTCCAATTCTACATATGGTTCTTACCCGTCATCGGAAGAGCTGACCTCAAGGCGTCAGCCTCCTGTCTTAGGTTGGTACCATTGCAATTGGATCATACCTGTCACTGACTATTGGTTCAGCATATGGCCATACTTGTGGATAGGCCTTTGCACCAGTGGGGGGGGTGAGGTTCTTTGCCTCACCTCTGTTGGCCCCCAAATTTGGCCTTGGTGCCAATGGGGGGTGAGGTTCTTTGCCTCACCTCTTTTGGCCCCCAAATTTGGCCTTGGTGCCAGTGTGTGGGGGGGTGAGGTTCTTTGCCTCACCTCTGTTGGCCCCCAAATTTTAGCTGAAACGAACATCACAAGCAGAAGGGAGGAGGATACAGAAATGCCACGACACCAAGCCAATTGACGGCTCCTCTGGAAAAATTGTACCACCGGTGACACCATCAGCAAAGATACTCCAGCACTACCACAATTCGCTGCACCAACAGATAGTTCACAATGCATACAAGTGATAGTCCAGGAAAGTTCTGCAAGCAGTTCAAAGCAGAGGAATCTATTAATATGTTCATTTCCTCCCAAAGTAAATCGACTCCTTGATTGAGCATYASWTGTTGAGTTACATTATTCATTGATGCATCAKTTTMTAYAGTTTGTTGTGATAGCTATCGCAGAAGCTGTAGTTTGGTTTTATCTTTGTCTTCACCGGCACTGGGATGAAGATAGGAATTCTGGCAATGATGGCTAAAAAAAAAAAATTAAGTAACATTCCAGCAGGCACTAAAAGAAAGCAATTTTCTAAACAATTTAGTATCCTGAATAGAATGAGATATAATGAAAAGGAAAGATGCAAGTAAACAAACAGATCTGTTAACCTCCTTATTTGTTCACATATTAAAACAATCCTCAACAGCTGATTACCCAATTTAAATTAAACCATTTAAATCACATGAATAAAAAAAATATTTGGATCCATTTTTTCATGAGCACTCCTCATATATGATATATGGACATACACACATACAACACAAAACACAAGTGTGCACACATAACATAAGCACATAGGCAATAGTAAAGGCCTTGTAGCTTTACCTAGGTGAAATCTCCATTGCAATGTTTAAAAACTCCACAGTCAAAAATAAAACTGATCAGAAGAACATTAACTTAGGTCTGTATGAGCTCAAAAATAAAATAGAACTTTATGATGTGGGAAAGGGCAATAATAAAATAGATATTGAAAAAGACATCCTGGTTACCACCTGGGTTTGACTCTTTTTTGGATATCCCAAAACTTGCATAATGGGTCTGAAGGTATTCCCACAAGCAAGCCCCAAGGTTTTTTACATTTGAAATAGGCTTTAATGGTGTTCATTATCCATTAGCCTCCAGGTGTGGGAGAACCACTGCTGCAGATGTAACAATAGACAAGTTGGAGCTCAGGATATCAGCTKTTATGGATTTGTATCAAATTATCTTCTTTTTGGTCTGTAGAAATCACTTTGGTTAGTCTCTCTGGAATCCAAATTGGCTGCTGTTCTCCCTGTGGAAACAACACACAAACAGAACCCCGATTCCAGACAATCACTGGGTCAGGACCTTTCCATTGTCCTGTTAAAATATCCTTCCAAAGTACCTTAGGCTTATGTACATTTGTTGGATACATATGCCTTTCTGCAGCACTAAGCCCTGATGAATCCAAATTTAAAAAGTTTAGAGTAAAAAGGGTGATTTTAAGTTTATCTTTGGGGGATATATACCCCTTTCCAATTCCCTCTTTTTGCTTTAATAAGTACATTTTAAAAGTTTGATGAGGTCTTTCAACTATGCCTTGTCCCTGTGGATTGTATGGGATTCCTGTTATATGAGTAATAACAAATGATGAGAAAAATTGTTTAAAAGAGGTAGAAGTATAACCAGGACCATTATCTGTTTTTAACTGTTTTGGAACGCTCACAGTGGCAAAATTTTGTAAGCATTGAGCTATAATATCTTTGGATTTTTTATTTATTAGATATTTTTATAATATCTTTTAGTTTTTTCTCCGGCATGAAGGGAGCCCATCAAAAATCCGGAAGAAGTATCAACTGTAACATGCAAATATTTTAATTTTCCAAATTCTGCCAAGTGTGTGACATCCATCTGCCAAATATGGTTAGGTATCAGTCCTCTAGGATTGACTCCAAGATTAACTTGTGGTAAAAAGGTCACACAATTTTGACATTGTTTT